ACAAAGTAGATCCCTTAAGGGGGGTCCTATAAAGGGCCCTGTGTGTGGTATGGGTTCCCAAATTAGGGCTTCTACTTTCTAGATCCTCCTCGCGGTCTGGGTTATGGTCCTTAATAGTGCGCATTGGTGTTCAGGGTGTCCAAAATAGCGGACAACAAACAACACTTAGAGGTGTAAGCTAGCGTGTTCATGTTTGGGCTTACTTTGGGCATAATTATCATGATCCGATCGAGTCTTTGCTAGATTTCCGTGCTGTGATATTTTAGGTAGGTCTTTGGAGTTTCCGGTTAAGGGTTTAGGCTTTCCTTTGTTGGGCTTAATAGGGTTTAGGGTTAAGTGTTTAACAGGAATTATGTTTACGGATAGTTCTCAGAGGCTTTCCCCCCTGGGCCACGCACTCAAGTTCCGAAGCCTCCCATCATCCCTAAACCCTCGAATTCCCGGAACTTGGACCCTAATGTAGAAGCCTAAGTAATTACCAATACTATTCTTAGTGTTCCTCATTATAATTAGCCCAGACCCTATTCTGATTGTTAAGGCCCCTATAGTAGCCGCGATGCAACTCCAGACCCCAAGCCGCATCCCTGTCCAGCGCGTAAACCATGACATGCAACGGCCCGCCTATTCCCCCTGTAATCGTCATAGAGCCATAGAGTTATACTAGACCGCAGCTTCAAATTCATGCTACGTCATCAGTCTTCAATGTTTCGAAAACTTCTCGAGCTCCATGGAGCATCTGGCAATCGGAAAACTCACGGACGGTTTGGAAGCTGAGTAGTTCCTTAGCAACCAGGGCTCCTACAAAAGGGGTTTGCCATTCTGGCTTTATGGGGACCTTGAACTACTTTACAGTTTGCTTGGTTCCCTTGTCCAGAGGCTTTTTGACTTAGAAGTGTGGATGCCAGTCTTGAAACCCTAAGCCGTCCCCTCACTCTAAGGCGTAATCCCTAAATCTCAAAAAACGAACCCGAAAACCCTAAACCCTTAACCCTAAACGCGAAACCCTAAACCCTAAGCCCGAAACCCTAGCCTTAAGCCGGTTCGGAGAGTCCTAGCTCTTTGGAAGGCAGTATGGTACGCAGCGCTGCAACTTCGAAGGCCTGACAAAGAGGGGTTGTGGTTTGGGGTTCAGGGTTTGGGTTTCAGGGTTTGGGGTTCAGGGTTTAGGGTTTAGGGTTCAGGGTTCAGGGTTTAGGGTTTAGGGTTCAGGGTTTAGGGTTTAGGGCTTCCGGTTCAGGGCTTAGTGTTGAGGGTTCCGGGTTTAGGGTTTAGGGTTTAGTGTTCGGGGTTTATGGTTCAGGGTTTTTGGCATCGACTCTATGGGATGAAAGGGGCTCATAGGGCACTCGGGCTTGTAGGTGAGTGCTGGGAGGTATTTGGATCCTTGGGGCCTTTGGGTTGGGGGTTTTAGGGTTTAGGGTTTAGGGTTTAGGGTTTAGGGGGTTCTGGGGGCAGCGGTCTGGTTTGGGGAGTAGGGCTTCAGGCTTAGGGAGAGGCGGTGGTTTCTGCGGTGTTGATTGTTGGTCTCGGCTTCTTTGAAACGATTTGGGGTGTAGGATTTGGGACCTGTGGTTTCGTTAAGAGGCTCTGTACCCTAACCCCTAAACCTTCCGTCAGTTTTTCGGTCTTGGTGATGTGTGCATTTTTGGGGGCCATGTAACCGGTGCGCGGCACTTGGTTTTGTCAGCTCGAGTTTAGGGGTCTGGGGATTTAGATATTTTCAGGGTTTGACTGTTTCAGGAGTTTCGTTTGGTTTTGGCTTTATGAACTTAGGGGCTGAGTGGCCCGGACAGATTCTGTTTCAAAGAACGCCACACGCTCTCAATGGGGAAGGGAATTCTACCATGACCGCGTCAGTGACTGGAGGTTCACTCATGCACGGTTTTCTAATGTCTTCTGTAAGGGCTCACTGTACTTTGCTGAGCTTTAGGGCTTTGCGTTTCGAACGCAACCGTAAACATCACACTTGGAGTGTCGTGGACATATCCGCGGGGATCCCAAAGGCTCAGCAATGAGCAGCAAGAGGTAACCTCAGATCCCAAATAGCTGAAACCTAAACCCAAAATCCTAAACCTGAGCCAACAGATACAACGTACTGTTGGGAGAGCCTTGGTAGCAGGTGCCTGGCAGCAGCTAGAGGCTGGCAACGGTCGAGTCGACTTAAGAAAAGGTAGTTGTTATTTCGGCTGAGCCCTTAACCCTAAACCCCAGACCCCCGCACTCTGTAGGCAGCTATCGGGTCTGAGGTGTTGCGAGAAGTCTGATCAGGAATTCAGGAATCCATTGTTCCTGGCATGGTAAACTCCTCAGGTCCTTACTTTCAGGGCTTTGTGATGCTTTGTGACTTAGTGTTCCTTGGAGCTTTCCGTTCAGGTTTGCGGGTTTAGGGTTATAGGTGTACAGTCAAAAGGGTCTTATAGGGTTTATAATAACTGTGGGTTATGTAGAGTTAGATGGCTTTGGGCTCTTCGACCAAGGATCCGTCAAGATTTGCTCAATTCGCTATATAGGGGTTTCCGAAAATAGGGGGTACCTTATTTGGGGGTCCTTATATAAGGATCCTACTATTCAGGGTACTTTATTAGGGTTCCCTATTTTCTGAAACCCGCTGTGGCCACGGTTTGGGCTAGGGTTCAGGGTTTAGGCTTCAGGCCCGCCAGTAAGACACAAAATGGGCCTGCAAATGTGGGCCTCCATGTTTGGTAGTTCGACTGGCTCAGAATGGCTCCTCAAGGAATATGCTGCTGCTAAGCTTCCAGAAGATTCGCGTAAATCCCTACGAGGTTCCCCCCAGAGGTCCCTGCAATTTGCTGTGTACTTTTGGAGACGGCAGCTTACGAGAAAGGCTTCTCTTATTCGTACTCTATTCTTAAGACGTCACTGGAGAACTCAGATCACCCACCCATTAATGTAATGACAGGAAACCTTCCATCGCGTCATCACTTTCTGGGTGTAAGGGTCCTACCTATGTCTTCCCGGTACACTCAATGGCGCCTTAAAGCACACAGCAACCAGTGCAAGCAAGTGCAGACGCCAGGTTTCACGGTTCTCCGAAGTGTGGCTGTTTCCTCGTTTCTGGGGTCAAAGGGGCATTGCGGGCCGTTTGCATGCATTCTTGTTTTTTTGGTTCTGGATTCGGGGTCGTAGCCTTTGGTGTTGAGTGGGGCCTCCTTGGCAGGCCCTGACGACAAGCCCGACAGAGGTGGCGTGCGGTGATTTTTCAGCCATGAGTTATTTACACACCAGTTGCACTGTTGGTCATGCGGCGCTGCATTCGGAACCCACATGCAAGACCTGATAGAGGGGCCTGAGTAACTAGTCACTGGCGATAGTGACCCCCTATAGTTCCCATAGGCTCCGTTATTTTAACATCAACAATCCCGAAACCCAGTGCCATCTACTGAAGCCTCAAACGACACGATGAAGCTCGTGTGGATCGAGGGCTCCTGTGCTTTTTGGAATATTTCTTTTTGAGTCTTTGAGGCAAGCAGTGGAAAAAAGCACCCTGGACCGCCAAAGACAGAAAGAGATAACTGCACTCTAAACCCTAAACCCCGGATCGTCATGCTCTGGGTGTTCAAGGCTTTCCCTGTAGGGGGTGACCCTAGTTAACCCCCGCTTGGTTTCGTCCTGGGCTGTGCGATCTCTTCTGAGTAGCTGAGTAGTTTGACCTTCCACCTGTCGGGTATGTAGTATGTAGCCATTTTTAACGACTAGTTTAGGGTTTCAGCTCAGGGTTTAGGGTTCAAGATACCCGCTTTTCACACCAAGAGCTTGAACTTTTGGGAGTGTAGAGCAAACTTTTTGAACCAAGTGTTTAGCTTTGTTTGGCTTATGGACTGGGCAACTATGTCTTTCTTGTCGTTCGTCGGGCTACCTCTGATCAGTATATATGAACTGGTATGTAGATATTTCGACGAGACACATCAGTTCGTTGATTTGCTTGCTTCCTTGTCTTGAACATTAAACCGTAGAACCAGACCCCGAAGCCTGAAGCCTAAGCCTAGAATGCCAAGATCTAAGCCGCTAAATCAAGGCTCTAAGCCTTGAGCCATAAGCATTGCATAAATGCCAAGTCAGTTTGACAGGTCGTTGTGGCACTCATTGACACTGGGCTGACATTCGGCCACGAGGATCTCCAAGGCATCCAGCATTTGGCCTGTTTGAAATAGCTACTACTAGTACCCCCCCTGGAGCCAAGGAAATAAAATCGGGATCGGAACGATTTGTAATATTATCGCCATAACCTCCTTACAGTATCGAAACCAAGTCTGATAGAAGGCCTCTTGTGTGCAAAACCCAGGACCCCCAAGGATGTGTACAGGATCTCCAACAGCAGTGCACAACCATGCGCGCTATTCATCCAAGTTGTCGGTAAGGTTTTGAAAGGGTTTGAAGGGCTTGGGGTTGAGAGTTGCGATCCTGGTTAGGATTCAGGCTTTGGGTTTGGGGCTTTGAGCTAGGATTTGGGGTTTAGGGTTTGGGATTTGATTTGGGTTGCGGCTTTTGGGTTTGGGCCTTTAGGATTTTGAGTTTGGTGTTCGTGTTGGGGTGTTGGGGTAGTCTGGGTTTCGGGCGGAGGAACTTGGGGTGGGGGGTTTCTGACTCAGGGTGTAATTAGGGTGTGGGATTGGGGTTTGGGGATTCATGGCCGAGACTTGAAGCGCCCTTTCTGCTTGCCCCGTTGTTGCATTTCTCCTTGAACTCCCAGCACTGCACCCAAACCCCTCAACCCTGAACCAGGAATCCAAACCCCTAAACCCAAAACCCTAGACTCCTAAAGACCGAGCTCTAAGCACTAGACCCTAAAGCCCGAGCCCTAAACCCTGAACCCTAAACCCTAGACCCCGAAAGACTGATCTCTAAGCACTAGACCCGACACAGGATCCCGGTGTAGCATCCCGGTTCACCGGTCCGCTCCCCTTCCCCCCCTCCCCGTCTCGTTCTGTTCAGGCACGGATAGCAAGACTGGCAATAATAGTTTCGGTCGTGGCCTCAACATTCAACCCTACAAACCCCCGAAAGAATTCCTTACTCAGAGCCACCCATCACATATTGAGTTTTTTCGAGCCGGAACCCTGAACCCCAAGCAGGTCGAGTCTGGACAAATCGCGGGGAGATTCCTGGAAACGGCCGCGACGACGATGGCAACGGCCCTTCGGCCTCGTCTCGATTTCCAGGTCTCGGGGTGCTGCGATCTGGAAGGTTGGTGTCTTCGGTGGTTTAGGGGTCGAGGTTGCGTCTGTTTCAGGACGGGTTTCAGGTCTGGCCAACCGCTTCGAGTTGGTGGCATTACAGGCGTTCAGCTTCAAGACTGATTTTCAGAGAGGCCAACCAAGTTGGGGGTCCCTGTAGGGAGTTATGCAGCTCGTGACACGAGCTCGACGAGAGAGCAGGAAGCGGGGCCGCGACTCTCAGGGGAGAGGTGTGATTTTTGGGCTCGAGGCCATCATGTCAATTCAAGCATAGGCCGGCCACGGCCCCTTCTGTCTGCAGAGGCTTGGGGGATGCTTGTGTCTTCGCTCAGCCAGTCCTGCGAATGATTTGCCGCTATCGAAGTCCAGTGGGGAGACCAAGAGTGGCAAGTTACCCCGGTCGTTCGTCGACCCCGGGACCGCTCAAGATCTCAGAAGATCTCAGAAGTGCATGTTCGTCTACGTGAGGCCAACACCATTGTGGGCACCTGCTTCGTGGTTCCAGGGCTTGCGCTCCCTATTTCACGAAATTGATCAGAGCTGCAAATGGGCCCTAAAGCCCAGGGCGTTTGTGGTAGAGGCATGTATAGGCCCATTCGAGAAATCGAGGCCCAAAGGTATTTGTAGTGATGTGCTTAGAGTCTTGACATCCCAGGTTACATCGATGATGTGCACGGATTCAATTTCGTGGACTACAACGGTAACCCAGCCACCCGACCTGAATTGGAAAGCTGTACACGCTTTTGGGGTTTCGAGTTTAGGGTCCAGGGACATTATTGGTATGAGACCAGCTTTCTGGGGAGGGTCTATCACAACTTACGGGGATTATAAGGAGGTGCTCTTCTAACCTCTAGTATAGTCATATGAGTCATGCATAGTCTGCAATCTAGTTTTTCTGTTTGGCTTTCCCATTCTCTGTGTGTGTGCATAGGACTTTTCACAAACCAAGTAGCCCAAAAGAGGACGACATTGTAGAGTAAAGCTGGGCCCACCACCCGAAGCCCAGGCTACAGGGTTGAGGGTTGAGGGTTCAATCTCATCAACTGTTGGGGTTTAGGGTCGAGTAGTCACGCGCGCTGAGGGCCGTCCACCCGCCGCTGCTAAAGCGAAGCCTGCCACACCAAAGAATCCGCGCCGTAGGCCCTCCAGTCGATCCAGACCCTATAGACTAGAGACTCTTCCCAAACCCTAGAATCCCAATGCCTATGTAGAACCATGAACCGCCTACTCAGTCCAAGGCGTTCGCCCGAACCCGATCCCGATCAGCCCTGAATCTAATTGGTAACCTCCTCTCAATTAATGTAGGGGCCAAAATTATTACCAACACTAGTTTGGGTGTTCCTCATCATAATTATGGTATAACGGGCCCCAAAGCCTTACTCTAATTCTAAAGGCCCCTTTATTAGGCTTCCCTTTAGATTTGGGATGTCAGCGTTGCGGCGACTTGACCCGCGATTTTGGGTTTTATTAGGGATTTGGGGTTGTATTAGGCTGAGGGCTAGGGTTCAGGACATTTGTGGGCATTTGGTCGGGGCCAACGCCAACAGTAAGAACCACCCTAAACCCTAAACCCTAAACCCTAAACCCTAAACCCTAAACCCTAAACCCTGGGCGCTCCTTGTTTAGAACAGCGTCTCGGTAGTCAAGATCGGCCTCCTCAGGTTGCGGATGAGGGTGAAGGTTTCGGGGACGTAGTCCTGGGTGTTGGGCCTTGTCGGAATGTAGTTGCTGCAGCGCAGAGGCTGTTCTCGGGCTGGTACGACAGAGCATTTAAGGTCCGTTTCAGGTTTAGGATTACTGTACCTGAGCCCAAGTTTTCGAACGTTTGGGAACGCATTTGTAAACTAAGTAGGGGCCGACAGACGAGGTGGATGATGGCGGCCATGGCACACACAATGCAGGGCTCATTGCAGCGCAGCGCCTTGGAAATCTGCAGTGTGCCTTTCGGGATTCCGGAACCTGAAGGCTTTTTGGTAACAGTGGATAGGGGCCTTGCACAGGGGATGCCGAGGTTCCGGCTTCTGAAGCTTCGGGTCTCGAGAAGCGAAGCTCTCTCTTCAGGAAGTAACGGCTGGAGGCTTTGGGCTTGAGGCTTGACATGGCAGTAGCCACAACAAGAGACTTATATCATGGTCAATTGCGAGACTCCCAAGGCTGCCGCATGGAAGCAGACCACACCTCCGCCTCCCAGACAGGTGACCCTGAACTAGAAGCCTCACGCCACGCCTCGACCCCGCGGAAAACTTAGCATTGAGAGTCATGAGGGGTGCCTTCGAAGGTGCTTGGGCATCCTTGTAGAACAACTGCCCGGGAGTTTCAGCAACTACGCAAACTAGATCAAGGGGGAACTTCGACAGGGATAGCCGTATGGCTGGGGAATACCCGCGGATTTTTCATGTTCCATTTACACTGCACATTCGTGAGTTCAACCTACCCACCGTTAGGCAGCGGCATGGTTGCTATTGTGTGTTCTCCTGTCGGTCGCACTGTTTCCTCAGAAGGAAGCCTGAAGTTTTAGATTGAAGGCAAGCGCCAGGCATTTCAAAACGAAACGGTTGGACGGCCCCTTGACCCAAATAGATTGAATTGATTATTTGCCAGCATCGTTCTTTAGGACATTGACAACAGGCTGTTCTGAGAACGGAAGCGGGGGGATGTAGTGCTTTACCATGCTTTACCTGATGTAGGCTAGGTATTTATCGTTAGGTGGTTTGGAATAGCCACCCGCCGTTCAACCCCGAGAACACACTCGCCATTCAAGCTTTGTCGTTCTGCGCTGTAGGAGAAACCCGTACATAAACCTTAGTAGAAACCCTATAGAAGCCCCGACAAAGCCCTATAGCCTACAGCCCCTAATCACCCAACCCCTTTTGTGGCGAAGCTCAGGCTAAACGATCGTGGCATCGCTGGCGCCGCAGGGCGCAATCAGTACGTCAAGCTGATGATAGTCAAGGCTCTTTGGGGGCTCAGGTGCTTAGGGCTTTAGCATTCAGGGGTTTAGGATTCAGGGGGGCTTCGGTGTTTAGGGCTTTACGGTTCAGGGGTTTGGGTTTCAGCTTTTGAGGTTCTGGGGCTTAGGGTTTGTGGGTCTGTCAGATATGGGTGGTTGTCAAAACTATGCAAAAGGCTCCCTTTTATAAGGGTGCCGTATAATTCTTGAGACTTCAATAGGGATCCTAATCTAGAGAAGTACCCAACAAGGAACCGTAAACCCAACGCGGCCTTATAGACACTCTCGCCTGAACCCCTATCGGGAGGAACTGGAGTTCCTGTCTCCGGACCTTTCACCTCTGTAGCTTAAGCTCTTCTGCGTCGCCGCTTGAATGCTACTCTCCAAGTCATCGCTCTCCGCACAAAATGGGTTTAGATTTTCGTTGTAGGGCTTCGGGTGAGAGTTGGGGCTTTAGAGTTTAGGGTAACTACACTTTCTCTCCTGGCAGTCTCTCTATGACCTTGTCTAATGCCGCTCTAGTCTAGTCAGTAAGGCCCGTAAACCCTAAACTCAAAGTCCAAGACTCCCTAAACTTTACGACCTGAACTCAAAACCCTAAACCGTACCATCCGTCGCGGAGCCGGGTTGACTGAAGGGAGAAACAAGGAGACTCAAAGATGGTTTGGGGACAATTTCGAGGCCTTGACAACTAGGTTTGCGGATGGAGTAGAACTACATGGGTTGTTCTCTACATTAGGGTCCCCTTTATGGTCCTTTTGAAAAGGGGGCCGTAGCATGTGGGGGACCCAAAATAAAAGGACCCCAACTTAGAAAACTACCCTCTGTGAACGATAATACTGTAAGGGCATCTTTTGCGGTAATTCTCACCTCTACATTAGCAGTTTTGGGTTCAGGGTACCAAGCCGCACATATACACCAGTACCTCTAATAACTTGCGGCGCCTCCGGCTCAGTCCGCCCGTCTTGAAAGTACCATGGGTTCTGGTTTCTGCAGTTTGTGGGCCGGGTTTGGAATGTGCGGGCTTACTTTTCGTTGAGGAATGAGACAACAGTAAGTTCTTGGCTGTTGGACTGAGCATCCCGACTTCATGACTGGAGTTCCGCGAGTTGACTTGATTGTACAGTTTTTTTCACTCAAAGCCTCAAAATTTCTTGTTTCGAGTTTGGTCAGCTGCATTGTTGGCTGGTCTTCCAGATTTTCGGGGGCTCACTGTTCGGCCACCCAAAACCCTACCCTTGAAACCCGAATCCAAAGCCCGAAACCCAAAAGTCTAAATTTGCAAAGATTTCTTCCGGGCTTCCATAAGTTCCCAAATCCTGGAGACATGTCTCGAGGCTCTGACCGCCCAAGGTGGCTACAAAAGCGACGCGATTTCGGCGGCGCCTCGGACGTTAAGGTTTCGGATTTAGGATTCAGGGCTTCGAAATCGGTGTTTCGGAGTTTAGGGTTGACGGACGGGTTTCGGGGTCTAGGGTTTAGGGGCTTAGGGGCTTATAGGGTCTAGGGATTTAGGCTTTGATACAGTGTCTAGGGTTTAGGGGCGCAGGCGTAGGGTCTAGGGCTTTGTTTCTCCTACGTTTGGCGCTTCGGTTTAGGGTTTATAGGGTTTAGGGTGCACTCTTGTCGGCACGCCCGCACAACACCCTTACATCCACGGACCCAACCTCAAGTGAACTATGCCTTAAACCCGATCCCAGGTCAACTATGCCATGGCAATGGGAGCCCAGATCTCTTCGAATTCTTGGGGTGGACACAGCCTTCAGACAGCAAATGCTAGCTTCTCCAAGAGGGACAGGGACAAGGCAGAAACTTAGGGCTTCGGGCTTTGAGGCTTCCGTGTGGGACATCAGCGGGCTGCAGGTTGAGAGGTTTAAAGGAGGGACCCTAACAATTACCTCTGCTCTTTTGGGGGCTCCTTATTATACTTGTAGTACAATATACACCAAAACACTAGTCGAATTATGAAGCCCGCTACGTTAGCCCGGAGTGGATTCACTTTCTCCACACCGGAGCGCAGAGAGCTGGATAGATGCATTGTTATCGTCGGAGCCTTTGGGAGAATTTAGGGGTTTAAGACGGTTCAGGTCTTGGGGGTTTCAGGGTTTTTGTGTGTTTCTACTTCTTGCGCTGTTTGAGGTGAGGCTTGCATCAGAGGTTGCTGCAAAGCTGAACTTGCTAAACTCTACAAGCCCTAAACCGGGCTCCATCACCGCGCAGGGTGTAAGCCAATCCTGGCCAGTGCACCCCAAGCCCTCTACTTCAGGGCCTTTCGAATTCGGTGTCTTCGAAGAGGCTTCAAGCCTCAAGGATTTCGATTTCTCCCACAGCAAGGAGGCTCTCTGGTGTTTGTCGGGTCCCTTGCTGTGGCCGGAGCTAGGGCCCAAAGGAGTTCGGTTCATCTTACGTCTTAATCGGGTCATCTTGTGCCAGAGTTTGAAGTGTGGTTTCGTCTCGAAGTTTTCGTCAAGAGCAGTGCTGGCATGGGTTTTCAATGCTGGATGATGCCCCGCACACCAAATCGGTGCCCTAGCCGCTGTCATCCGCGCTTGGGGTGGCCGGTGTCCGGGGCTGCTCCAACTCAGGACCCAGTTCAGTAGTTTACTAGATGTGGGTCAAGGTTTCGGTTTGAACAGCTTCCGCTGATTTATTCATAATCTGGTAACTTGTGTTTGAAGCATCAAAGTGCCCAGGCCAACTCCTATCAAGATCGGAACCTTGACGAGAACCCTCCTTGCAGTTCACTGCTTTCGCCATGGCAAAGTCTGGTTGTGAAGAGAGCCGACGTTGAAGGCCCGTAGCCCTGAATCCTCCATCCACAAGGCCGATACCCCTACAACGCTTAAGACTCAAGACAAGAACAAGCAGAACCTTAGAGAGTTCCGTCCCTGAGAGCCCAAGCAAACCCAAACCCCAAAACTAGCTCGTAAAGAGGCGTCGAGCCCACCGGCGCCCAGGTGAGAGTCAGTCCCTGCAGCAGGCGCTCCGGTGCTCCGGAACCCCCGAGGATCCAAAGTACGAATCAGAGAGAAGCTTCACGAGCTTTTGTGCTTCTTGCGTTTAGGATTCTTGAAACTGGTCAAGGTTCGAGTCAGAGTTTACAGGGGTTTGGGGGCGCAGGGGGAACCCACAATCCAGAGCCGCATGTATACAGACCTACACGCATACGCATACCGCTACACATGAAGAACTGCATACATACAAACTCAAGCATGAGAGCAAAGGTGTACACGCGCACATACACACAGACATGAATGTACCTGCATACATACATACATACATACATACATACATAAATACATACATGTCGAGGTTTGGCTGGGGTAGAGGATGTCAGTTCTAGGGGAAACCCTGAACCAAAAGAGTGCCCAAACTATCGTTAGTACACTGTCCAACTTGTTAGAATTTTTCGTGATTTCAGTGTGACTATTAGTATTGTCGTTGTTATTCGATCTAGTTGCTATTGCCATTGTGTTTGTTACTAATATTATTGCTATTGGAATTGTTGTTCGTAACAGTATGTTCACCATTCTCATTCTCGCTATTATCAACTCATCACTAGATGCTACTAGTAATGGGTTTTCTGCTTAATCCTGTGCCTACTGTTCTTGCTAATACTAGTAAACCCTAGCTCCCAAACCTGGTGTTTGCAAAGGCCATCCAGGTTGCCATGGAGGCTGGCCACCTCTTTGTGACTCGACGGACGTCCCAGTACCTAGGGTTTGGGGTTTAGGGCAATTAGATATGGGAATCGGATGGGTTTAGGGTTTAGGGTAGACATGGAAATCGGGATTAGGGCCGGAGATTGCCAACACCGCCAATTACCCCAAGTCCCACAGCGTGGCAGCAAGCATGAGGCTCTCCCGCAAAATGACGCATGTAACAGCTCGGCTGAGAGGGTGAGCGGAATCAGCACGTGAGGTTTCAAGTACCCTGATTGGAGCTATACCTGTTAATAACAGAAGTTCGTCTATTTATAACCTTTGCTACTAACTCTTATGATCCTTTGAATAAACGTTTGCCCCTTATGGAAATGGGCCCCAAGGGCAAGGGCGGGTCTTAGGACTTGGGGAGGAGGGTTTGCAGCAAACCGGAGCCCAAGTCTCGGACTGGGTCTTTTGGCTGTAGTGCCCAGGTGTGTAGAGGTGATTTGGTTTCGGGCTTTTGGGGCTTAGAGTGCAGAGTGTCTTGTGTGTGTTATTTGGTGGATCTTGTTCTATGAGTGTTCCTTTTTTGTAAGTACTTAACAACATGCAAGAGTGTCCCCTCAGGTTTCGGCTGCAGGTAACGACAACGCGAATGCGGACCAGTATCCCTTCTATCCCTGTGTCTATCCGCATGCACCTTGGCCAAACAGTGCGGGTGGGCGAAGACGTGCTAAACATCAAGCACACTTAGTGCACATTGGATGCATTTTTGAGCTCGCCAATCCCAACCCTAATCTGAAAACCCGACCCTGAGTTGAAAATCCGTCAACTCCCCCACCCGACTTGACCAGAGAAGTCGAGAACATGGACACTCAAAACCCAATCTGTATACGTCCACGGTGAAGATTGAATCCGAAGGCCTACACCAAAACCCTTAAGACCAAACCGTACACCCCCAAACCCCGATGTCCCCCCGACTCGAAACCAGTCCAAACCCAAAGCACCACAAGCGAACACAACCAACTATGGAAAGCTGCCCTGCCCTTCTAGTGACACTACTGACATGATAGCACCTGCTGCTCTAATTTCCTAAACCCCTGAGTCGCGAAACACCTCGAATCTCATAAAGCCCTAAACCCTTTACTCTGAACCCTAAGCCCTCAACTCTGACACCGTCATGCGGATGATAAGTAGGGTGATATATAACCTATATTAGGGGACTTATCACCCCACTAATAACTTCCCATGAACCTCCATGTGGATGTTGCTTCGGGTAGCTCCTACAAGGTCCTCTGTGTTGCGGCATCGAACTCTGAGGCTCGCTTTTCTGGAAAGGGCGTGAAAGGGCTTTAGTTC